GTTAGAGATATTAAAACCATGCTGGAAATTGAATAAAACACAGAGTCCCAATTTAGAAGAAATTTTACAAACACGACAAGATATGATACTTAGTGGTGGACTTGGAAGTACATTATACAATAGCCCATCAATTATACTGGAGAATGCAACAACAATATCGAATGAAGCATACACTTTAATTATTTTAGCTGGAATAGCTGCGTTATGTTTCATAATCATCAGCATTATCATTATTATTTGGTTATGTATACGATTGAAACGAAATACACATCACAAATACATGATATCATCATCCGTCAAGCATAGAAAACTCATTAATAAACGATTAAATAAAGTAAGTGAATCACTTAAAAAATTTGAATGTTATTCTTTATCATCCAGTTGTAATTTATTTACATCATGTAGTAATTGCACAAATAATAGACGACAACAATGTTCATTTTGTGGTTGCACAATGAAACATTTACCTTGTATTTCAAAAACAAATGAAACTGGTCACCAATTAATGAGACCAAAATCACATAGAAGGGAAGATAGTAATGAAACACAAAACAGTATTTTTGCAAATCATGCAAATAATGTACAACATTTGAATAATCAAAGTATTACTGATTTAGAAACACAATCGTTGAATAGAATTATCAACATTAATGATACCGATAAGGAATCTATATTTAAGAGTAAAACACAGAGAAACCGAGAAAGAAAAAGATCTCATATTGTTGAATCGAATCGTGCTTCTGAATGCTCCGATGATGAGAAAAAATCAATTTTACAGGTAAGAAAACATAGTCAACCAGATTTATTAGTTAATTCTCATCTGCGGGCACGGAATAGTCAGAGAAGCACTTATATACATGGAAAACCTTTACAGGCGAGTGCAAGTGTTCAAACTCTTTTACATATTGATAATAATCAGTCAGTGAGAGCACTTAGACAGCCACCTGATGCTCTACTGCCACCGTTACCTGCACCACGTAAAAGTAGAAGTATAGGAGATTTATATCAGAATACAAGGATTGAATTACCAACACATTTATCAACCGGAATGATTCCATTTAATCTACGAAGAAGCGCTAAACAATTAGCCAAGAAGAAGATGGAAGAGCAATCAATGCAACAACCGACAAAAGCGCCAATTAACTTATTAAGACATTATGATACGAAAAAGAAACGTTCTCCTGTATCGACTGGTAGCATTCGTCGTAGTGCCCTACCATGGAGAGACAAGAGTCTAGATAATAGTGATTTTGCAAGTATAAAGGCTGGAAAATCCATACTAACAAGTAGTAGAGCAAGCTTAAAAGGTGTATTTAGAAGAACTAGACTAATAGTTTCAGCACGAGCTAGACTAGAGAATAATGAGAAGAGTAATATAAACTTAAGAAATAACTGGTTGTCTGCAAGTCGACGTAAAATTGAACAAACATGTAAATGGTTGAAACGTGATCGAATGTCAAAGAGAGATAGTCATCCACTATCAACACCAACACAACAGGAACCACGACAAGTGCACAGTGAAAGTGATGTGAAATTTCTAGGTCCTGAATTGCCGAAACCTTTTTTCTTATTACCTAAAGAGCCTGAATATGCTACACCCTTCGTAGAACCAGAGCATATCAAACAACATACAGATTATTTACCAATGTACCATGATAAGTACATTGATAATAAGTCAATAATTTTGTCATCCAATGAGACAACAAGGGAATCAGTCAGTAATCCAATGAAATCAATCACTAAAAAATCACCAATTGACGAATACGTCACTGACTTAATACATATTGAGCCGATAAATTATCCCAATATGATATTAATGAATCCATTCAATTCAACGCCGCAACAACAACAACCTCCGATTGCTTCAGTAAAACCGCCACCTACAAACACTTTGAATACTATTAATAATAATAGTACTAGCACACTACCACATCCTGCTTGTAGTAATCAACTAACTGTGACTAATAATAATATTATTGATAGTAATGATAGTAATAATAATAATAATAATAATAATAATAATAATAATAATAATAATAGACCAATACGACCACCAAGACATCAAAAGCTTAAAATGACAGGGGATAATACATACAGCATTCAAACATTTTCCGATAACAAAACTAACGATAAAAGTAAAAGCAATAATTCTACAAGAGGATCAGAGTTGAATAAAAACAAAAAATCTGACAAATATTGGCCACTAGATTATGAACTGCCATTACCACCACCACCGCCACCTCCACCATTCATTCTAAACGACAAATCGAAATTAATCAAATCGAATGTTAATAAAATATTAACGGATATTGAGTCAAATAAAGATAATACTGAAGTGAACAATAATGTGAATAGTTTATCTCTTCATTCATCTTTGCCTCCTTTCTCAACATTGACACTACAACCATCACTGAAATCAAAAACTATAAATGTTAAACCATTAAGAAGTGCCAGATTTCCACAGTCTACAACAACAACAACAACAACAACAACGATGAAAGAAGATAATCATTCGAAGTTGAATTTTACTGTTGAACAAAATAACAATAATAGTAATAGTGTGAATAATACTAATTACAAACTCATTGAGAAAGCCCTAAAGAAACCAACCCAAAACAAATGAACTCGGAAGTGATAATAATAATTATATAAATGATGAAAAAAGATGTAGGAAACCATCGTTTACACGATGACGCTAATTAATTAATAAAACAAAATGGACACACTATACACAGAAACTTCATTGATACATACATATCTAAAGATACTGTGAACAAACGCACATACAAAAAGTACAACGATCTCAACTTAGCATACTATGTATTGTATTCATGTAGCTTTTTGTGCCATATATAATTTTTTCTATTACCAATTTGCCCGGAACACCACCTTTTTTCTCTACTTATATCATTTTATCTACAATATGACCTTGTAAGACGAATTGAGCAGTGTATGTAAATAGTAGACAATGTAATAAATTCTTTATTAGCGTTAAAAAGGTCTCTTATGATTAATTAAATTTGTTCATGATTACCTTTATTCGTACAAGACATTGTTGTATCAGGGTAATAAATGATAACATCATCACATCAGTCAGTCAGTCAGTAACAACGTAGAACTTCGTACGTACGTACATCAGTTCGAGTTGCCACACCACATTAGCACAGAGATGCAGTTGTCGATTCAAATCCCGTAGTGGTAGAGGTAGTAAGAGTATAAGCAGTGATCGGGAAGATTAGGGTTTGGAGATGTTATTTAAAGAATATAATCCAGTGAAATAAATTTGGAAAGTGGAAAAAAGGGACATGAAGAATTCAGAAGATTAGAATTTTGGAGAACACAAAGAGTGGATGCACCTGCGCCATTGCAAACGATTTTGAGCCATGTCATCACATAGTGTAACTTTCTACAGGAGGTAAACTAGTGAACTGCATTTATCATCACATGCAACAACAAATCTGTTTGGATAGCGTAATAATATAAAGATTATCAGAACTACGTGGTAGTGCAGCACATTTCGAACAATCTTATATATACATAACTGAGAACATTTATACGTGAAAAATTAAAGGGTGAACTAGACGAATGGAAGCATAAGAGGAAATGAAGACGATAACCAGCTTCATTTCTTATATATATTTATAAGTAGAAGAGATGTTTCAATAGGGCGATACATTTTTAGAAAGCCAACTTGGGTGAAACAGTATCTTAGTTATCATAGCCGTTGCACAGTTCAATATAAAAGGGGCTTGATAAAGGGTCGATTTAATAGGATTGGTCATATTCGTACGAACGATACCATTGATGATGAAGTGAGGTTACTGAATTAAACATTGATGGAGAACGGTTATCCTATAGAATTTATAAATCGATGGGAAGGTTATAGTATACGACATCTACTACAAGTTCGGAACCGAAAAACCTGTCTACATCACCCTACCATTCAGAGGTGAGTCAAAAAGCATTTCGTTGAAACCAAGTTTCAAATCAGTTGTTAGCAAAACGCACTATGCAGTAAACGTAATTATTATTGAAAAAAAGAAGATCCATGCTTCACCAAAAACCTAAACGGCATGTAACCGATTGCATCACGTCTGACTGAGTTTACCACACGTTTGATGATGACTTGAGTTTTATTCTCTAAAAAATTTCTAGTCTATTAAACCAAAAAATAACAAAGCGATTTAATTTGAAAAGAAACCAGAACTACGTTATTTTTATTGACTTTGGTATCCCACTAAATTGTATTTCACTTAAATCTCACCCACACAACTGGTAAGTCCCGGAATTATAAAATTTTCTCAGGATAGTGAACAAGCGTAGGAAACTAGGAGGAATCTGACTGATATCATACGGATAAATATAATACACCACAAACCAAAGAATTAGCTGTTACTAATCATATAGATAGTCAGTTGTAAATCAGGACCTGGGACATACGTGTACCGTTTTACGTTATCACACCATAATTAACAAACGAATATGAAATAAATGAGAAAAAAACTAGACGAATGAAGATCATAACAATAGCGTATGGTAAAAGATGATAAGTTGAGAAAATAAGGAGTCGATAATGAAAAGTAAAAAAGAATAAGATCAGGTGAAGATAGTAGAGTGAATGCAGTTGTTTGATGACAATTAATTCTAAGACATGAAACTGATAACTTTCAGCAATATATTATGGTTATTATGCACACACCAGTCAGGAAGCATGTACATCCCCCTAAGCAAATAGCACTAAGAATTCATATCTAATTGTGGTATAACCGACCTTACATTTCTTCCAACACAATAGTAAGTTAGGAATATAGCATACTAATTTGAAGCCATTACCTGATTGCGTGGTCGTGGTATTGATTACATTTCTTATTTTAGTCTACAGTAATGAGACACTGACGAAAGTGACTGCATGGTAAATTTTCTAACAACTCATTTAAACATTACAGGTAAAAAGTAAAAAAAAAATGTGTATACGAATTTCTATGGAAAAACCTGCTTACAGTACGGTTTAAAGTTGACTGCTACAAAATCTACAGTATAGACTGAACATCAGAATCAGCAAGTTTGAAAATGTTTTGTAAACGAGAGTATCTTTGTCAGACAAAAACATAATTTCCCTTACACGTGGTCTAACTGTCATATCATCAAAATTCATGTGTGATATGCTTAATATCGTTTTGAAAAGTATTATTATTACTAATGTAAAGTGTGTTGTGAATGAAAACAAATCATTACACAATTTTAGATCGAAAAAATTAAGAACTTTAGTTAAACTAACTTCAAATGATTCCAATTTTATATTTTGTTCCTCAGTTCATTTGTTTTCTTTGTTGTCGTGATGGTTTGACTAGGAAATAAACACTCTGATAAGTGAACTCCAAAAAGTTGGATATTAAAGCATAACTGAGTGGAGGAGTAGTATTGATTTATCGATGGACCACGTGGTATAACCAAAAAATTATTAGAAAGTTCCATATGCCATAAACCACCGACGAAACTGTAACATACATAAAGAGAAATATATGCCATGAACACATACAAAACAAAAACAGTATAAATTTAATCAGTTTACAAATTGGTTTACAGTTAAAATGTTTTTTTACAAAAACAATGCAAGTGAATAAACCTGAATCGGAAAGTGTACAATTTTGTTCTAATAAGGACATAATATAAAATGATATGAATATTTTTGTAAAATGCTTAAAACGAATTTATTTGTTTATTCAGAGAAATGAATTGAATGTTTGATTTGGTGAATTTAACAGTAAATTCCATTATGTATGATAAAAATCATTAAATTATTCCTGTGGAGTAAACGTGACTAAAAATGGAGGGTGAAATGAAAATGTAACTGCAAATTAGAGAGGAACGATGATGATTGTATTCAGTGATGTATAAGAATGGAAGGATTGTCTACACACTTAACCTGCTTACTAGTCACTATGATGACAAAACTATTGATGTAACGTCACTTTCCTACCAAACGATTTGACTTCTATTCAGTTTGCATGTAATTGCAAAATGCATAAATTGACATTTAATATTAGGTCAAGTTTAAAGAAAGAGTTTTGTAAAATAAGTTGTGATTGAGTTGTAAACAATATGGGACCGAGCAGCAAAATTTACACGCTTATATTATCAAAGTTGAAACCACCCCTATGAGTGAAAATTGAAAGGAGGAAAAGAAAAGGAGATAATAATAAGAGGAAGATAAGCATAATATAGAAATCAAACATAGTATTCTGGTGCAAACGCTAACGCATTATCCACTGAACTACTAGAACCCAGTCAATTAGAAGGTAGGGCGTGTGTGAACCAAGAAGTTCTGGAGTTCGACTTTACTGTGGACATCATCACTAGGATCTAGGTACATCCAAATGACAAGTCACAAATAGGATGAACGCACGTTTTGAATTTGACTGCTAGCTAAATTACCGAGAAAACCGTCATTTGTGAGTGAAGGTTATTTAAAGCAAACTGTTCAGCATGCATATATGGCGACAAAGATCAGTCGGTCAAAGTTCTTAAGTCAAACAGTCAGCTACAAAGTAGGACCAGGTAAGTATATGCATCGGTCCAAGTTGCCACAACTCAATAGCACAACAAGGTCAACACCCAATTCATACAAGTAGTTATTTTAATGGTAATAATATAAAAAAGAAAGATTGCATATAAGGATGTAATACAGGAAGAAACAATTAGTTCACAGTAAGAAACATTTAAAGCAATTGTAATCTCACGGTTTAAGGGAAGACAAAATGTGTATACACCGACGCCATTGTGATAGATCCTGAGTCATGTCACCCAGAGTCTCCAACCATTGGTTGCGATAGTCGCGCGGGACCCAAATAAGTAGTCTAAATCTACCAACATGGCTCAGAGCAGAAGTTAGTGACTGCAAGGACTGACGCCACGTTTTGGTTTGGCCGCTCTAACTTTCTTCCAACCGTCTTCAAACTAGTCAGCATTGCGCATCGTGGTCTTTGTTAAGTGTCCGATAATTATTGAAGCTAGCAATTTAGATGATATATTAGCCGAATTAATCGCTTTATGGTTGTCACAGGATGTGATTTTAACCCTCTCTTATATATTGGGACGATAAGTGATTGTGACCAGTCAGATGGAATAACGTCTAACTCCCAGATCTTAGCTACAATATTAGTCAATCTAATCGCTAAAATTTGACCACCAACCTTAAAGACCTATGGAGCCAATCCATCTGGACCAGCTGCCCTTCCTCGTTTCAGATTAACTATAGCCTTTTGGACTTCAGCTAGAGTTAGGGGACCTACTTCAATGTTCTATTCACGCTGTCTGGGGATGGTGGGTAGTTGTAGAGTAGCTGAAGGTCAGATGAACTGCTCCTTAAAATGTTCAACCCATCGTTCTAAACGTCTGGATTGGGAGCAGATAAGAGTGTCGTCTTTTTCTGAGATAGTCTCACTTACACATGACCTATTAATTCCAGTTTCTTTTATTAGTGTGAAAGCTGTCTTGTGTTACCGACAGCCGCTGCCTTTTCCATCTCTTTTGCTTTCGTTGCCCACCACTGCTCACGGTCGTTCCTAAGACTTTTGGTTAACCTAGATCTGACTTGTTTTCACTCTTCATTGCGTTCAGAGCCTGATGGGAAGAATTTACGAGAATCTATCAGTGCAATAGACTTAGAAGAAATCCATTGGTTTTTCGTGATTCCTTGGTTAAAATCACTAATACATGTCACTGCTGTTTCCACAGCTGACCTCGGTTTTTCCTGGAATCTGCTTTTGACTTTCTCCTTACTGAGTTAAACTGTAACGGGTCTTCTTAATGTGGATTTTGTGTGTTCAGCGAGGCACAAGCAAATGCGTGCTCGTATTACAGAATGAATGGAGTCTAAACGGGTATTCCAGAACGACAGACAGTTTACTATCGACCCTATCCAACGATGACTGATGATAATATAAGTCCACCGTTGGTTTGGTGCAGGCGGTTGCCATTTTAGACGATGTCTCTCCTTATGCTTAAAATTGGTGCTTGTTAAAAATGAACGACTGTCTGAGCACAGTCGCAGCAGACGATCATCATTATCTGTTCGCTGGGCTGGAATACTAAAATACCCACCTAAATGTCTTTCTACCTACCTGAGCATTAAAATCACCTGCTACAAGTAATATGTCTGAGTGATGAGCTTTTTGAAGAAGCCAAAAGAGGAAGTTTAGTGTTGGAAGTCGATGTAGGAGTAATAATAGGAATTGGATAAGGAGGTTGATTATGAATACAGTGGTCTTAATTGTTGTTAGAGGTATGAGGGACAACTGCTGGAGGTTGGTCATATACGACCTTATTGTGAGTAGTTTTCGTGTTAGCTCTGTACTTGTTGAGACCTTACCGCCGGAGACGGATATCTGTGGGATGAGGAGAAGTGTGCACTTTTAGGGTCGACCTTTTCTAACCTACCACTCCTTGTGGGAAGGCAGCATCGTTGTTATGCTGGTTGTCTGAAGGAAACATCTTACTGCCGTCACACCTCTGTATAGTCAGAAGTACGACTTCGCCCTCGGACCTTAGGTTTGCTGCTTTTAGTCTTACCGCTCTTCGACCGACTTGTCTGGCATGGTAAGACCTTGAGGAACGATTTTTCCAGTCAACATGGCACGATTGGTTCATTACGATAGGCAAGCTCGACCACCAAGTTAAGGTAGCAGCAACGGTCGGGATAAGTGCTGCACGAGCGCTAATAGGAAATCTTGTTCTAAAAGGAAGAACTGAAATAAGAGAATACAATGTACAAAAAAAAGCACCAAACTTAAATTTCAGAAAAGTCAAGAATGCATTTAAGGGACTGAAAACAAATCTATGGTCTTTAACCACAGACTAAGTCTAGAATTGCTTTTTAAACAAAACTCAGAAACGATATACAGGCTGATGTACACATATTCGGTCTATATTTTTCGTATTGTGACTACTAACAATACATGGCTAGAAAAATCGAATTAGATGGGTTGGAGTTCGAATTCAAGATGTAACACTGGAAGCATTTGTGTTCATTTTGAAAATAAGGTGTGTACGATGAAAGAAAAATTTGACAGTAAATAATGTGCAGATTCGGATTTATTATCTTTAATTCCTAACAAATATATAACATTTAGCAACTAGATTGTAAGTTTCAAGTTACATAGGTTTGTACGGTCAGTAAAACAAAACCCAATTACATCCAAAAAGTAATATATTACAAATTAGTCAGTTACACTGTTCAATATATACCATCCATTCAATAGTGTATCTAGTTTCTGTTTGCACGTATCACATACTTTATTCTCATTGTTTAGTTTGGCTCTGTATTAACTTACACTGGTTACAATTGAATAATTTTGGATTCATTATTTTGGGCGAATTCCCATCTCAAAGTGTCATCATTTTTTGAGGTGTCAGATTTGTTACACAGTTGGAACACTCTTGTTTTTGAATTGAATTTAGAGCCAATCATAATCTATTAGGTGTGCATTCTATATTCACGAGCTGAACAGATTCAACGCATGTTAAAATAATAGAGAACTAACGAATCTTCTGGAAAATAATCTTCATTTCTACTGATTTATTTAACTGGTTAAAATTAATCTCAGTAGCAAATTAAAAACATTTCACTTTAAAATATTCATTTATTCAGTGAAAATAAATAATTTCTAACCAATATTTACCAGTATACGTCCATTACCGTTAAGAAACTTGAATAATAACGGTAATATTCCAAAAGAAACTACTCTTTCTAATCAACGTAATAACTCAAAGATTCTTTCAATATTGATTCCTAATAAAGTAGAATTCAATAAGTCAGTTTTAGCGGTAACGGATCATGATAACAATAAGTGTAATACTTACACTACTATTTGTCTAGATAATAAATCAAAACATCATTAGAACCACATAAGGTAAGTCATACACAAATATACTGGCATGATTCATATTATCATGTGTATAGATTGAATCGATATCTGATTAACAAATCAATAAATAGCTGCTGAAACTAATTGTTTTTCAATACAAAACACAAATGAGCGCATATATATATATATATATATATATATATATATATATATATATATATATATATATATATATATAGATAGATATAGATAATAATAGATAGATAGATAGATGTGCACATATTACCATGAAATAGTTTTCATCATGCTAATCACAAATAAACGTTTCAACTAATAGTTGAGAAAAGCCACTCATATAAGAAATTATTACCTTTATTAGTCACAGAATAATAATAAATGACACAATAAGCAAAACAATAACAGAGATATTTTTTTGAGATTGAAATTTTGTTACTAACTAAGTTCATGAAGATATATTATAGTGTAATATATATTTGACTTTTAGATAGATGAATGTTAGAATTTTCATGAGTTATTAGTGGTTATGATTGCACAAATGATTTTGGTTTTTACTAAAAAACTGTAAGAAGTTTAACAACTTTCACAGCGTGAATCTCTTTTTATATACAAT